TCAGTGAACGATGTTCTATTAGAACATGACCAACAAACTTGCAACTTTTTGACAGTCGAGTAATCGTGTTGATCATTTAGCATAAATAAATTCAATCCTCCCATAACAGCGTTTGACCATGGTAATGTATAAATCGAACACGCGTTACGTAGCTCGTCTATATTAACACAGATATTCCACTTCATTCTAGCATCAAAGAATGGTTTTTCTATTGATACTCGATCAAATGGTACTTCCAACAAGAACATAAAGAGAAAAGATAACTCTTTCAAATTTGTCAGATTAGATAACATTTGATGAATTCTATCACCAGAAATGTATGATGATAAATCGTGTCTAGTGTAATAAAAACTCAGTTTGTTTAAATAGATGAGATTCTTAATAATCTTCTCGAATATTTGATAACCAATTGAACCACAGAAAGCTTTTAAAGTAAAATCTCTTAACTGTGGTAATTTCAATGGTAGATTCTAAATAAAACATAAAACATTGTCATCCTACATATGAATATATAGTCTGAACTATAGCTTTAGCTCAAATGAAAAACTAATCTTCTAAAAAGATGTAATGTCAGCTTTATTTAGCCAAAAGTAAGATGACATCTTTGGTTCTAATTCTTGTTATAGCGCATGGTCTTATTAACTGACTTTTCCTTCTACTTAAATTTCCAAGAGAAATTTATTGGTTGTACCTAGATATCAACAAGTTGATGATGATTAAGAACTAAGTAAGAAGAAAACTTACATCAAAATCATATGCTTCATTGATTAGATCTTCATCAACATTAGTATTTATAGATTGTTTTACCGTGCGAATATTCAAATACTGTAATGCTGGAAAGTGATCAAATATAATTAGAATATCACTAGCGCGGCCAAGATCAATTGTTAAATGTTGAATATGATCGTTTTTTGTCAATATTTCAATCGATTTCAGTAGTAAACCGATTACTAAATTGAATCTGAATTGGCATTTTTTTAATGATGTTTTCGTTCTCTTAAATAATATGTGTTCCTGAACAAGCGATGAAATTTGCTTTACTTCATTGTTATCAATCTGTTCATCACTGAGGCAACACCTGAAACATGTAGTCAGTTCAATCGCTAATTCGTATAAATTAGGAAAGTACTTTGAATAGGAACTTTCGAAAAATAGAGATATATCAGACATACTATTGATAAATAATAATCTTAGACATTTGACATTATTAAACCGAGAAAATATATCAAGTGAATTAAAATGTTTCAATTGTAGGCAGCCATATGTTTCGTCGATAATTAAAGTTTCAACTGATGTACTGAATTTTTCCAGTACCTTAGAATTACAAATCCATTTGAATAGTTTCACATTAACATTAAACAAATTTATATTTGACAAATACTTTCTTTCCAATAATATGCTATCTAAATGTTGAGTAACATCGAACAGTGACTGAAGTACTTCACTTGACTTTAAATAGTGACAGATCTCAATTAAACATAAATCAGATAAATCATTAAACGAAGTCATCTAAATAGAAAAGAAATATATCCAAGAAGATTAAAGCAATTCATATTTGAGGACCCTCTCAGAAATCGATGATTTTCTCTCAAAAGCGGAGTTTATTGCTTAGTTACTAACTCTGAAGTCTTCCCTTTCAGAATCTGTGTCTCTATCCACCCAAAAAAAATTACTTTTCTGATGGGTTTTGAGGGGTTTTCTGGAAGCCATCAAATTTTTAGTATTTTTTCTTGATTGCCATAGGTGAACTACCGCATTTCGTCCCTTATCATCAAAGTAACTCGGTAAGGCTTCAACGTTTTGAACTCAAATTTTTGACATAGCCTAGTTAGACGGTAAACATTAACATATGTAAATTTCATTCGGATTCCTTGTAGAATAAAAGAGGTTTTGCTTGAGGGGAGCCATTGATGAACTGCTTGACTGCTTGAAAAAGCTGATCAATTGAATATACACAAAAATGAAAGAAAATGAATATGAACGTCTCTAATCATGCATTCTATAGACTAAAGTGAATATACATATTAAACTTCTCGACACCATCGACGGTTCCATGATATTTCTCTCTATACATCACACACTTTTGTATATAAGAGGTGGTCAAAAAAGAGGTGGACTGCCTTTAATAATTTGGTATACAATTATTTAATTTAATAGATATAAAATGTATTTAATGTGTTATAGTTTTGTAGTAGTTTACTACGATGTTCGAATCTCTATTCGTACAAAATTGCTTTTGTGTTTTTCGATAGTTTTAGTTTAGAATATTATAATGGAATATTTTCCGCTTGTATTCTGACAGAATAAAGCTTATATCAATGTATTTTAACTTTATTTAGGTCAGTGTTGATGATATTAGTAATACTAATGATTTATGTTTCTGTTTGTTCGTTGCTAATTATTACACAACTTAAACAACAAAAGTTATGAGACATTGCCAGAGATCATCAATGCTAGTAAGTTATTTAGATCCTTTGTTATGAACAGATATTGTTTACTATTATTATTTAGCTAATAAACTTCGCGATCCAAGTGTACGTTGTTTAACATTTATTATTTATCGATAATTCTTTGATTAAAAAAGGACTTGTGTTTCTTCAGAAAACAACAACAGAACAGCAGCAGTATGAAATCGACACAACGACAAGCACCGGTACCTACCAAGAAAACATGGAACTGTTATCAAGATGTTCAAGAGTGGAGAAAGCATTCAACAAAGTACAAAACAATTAATGTGGTGAGTTGAAAATCATCATTTTGTACAAGTGAATAGAATTCTACTCCTCACGTTCTCTACGGTTTCGTGAAGTAGGCCCAGCGTACTACCATGAACCGTCGTCGAATTTTTGGGGAAATGATAGAAAACACTCGGGAGCCTCTTGTCAAAAAACGTACACATCACCTCGGAAAAACTTGAAAACGTTTCTTTTAAAATCCGTTGAATTATACACCATTCGACGCAGATTTTCGTTCTACATCTGAATATGTATAAATGAGGGTTTCACAGTGCATAGAAAAGGAGAAAAACGCCAAAAACTTCGGATTTAGAAAGTTTAGAAAAGTTTTTCGGAAAATATTTTTCCCAAGTTGTCTTGAAATTCAGCCACTTCCGTCAACTAAATAATTTTTCTGATTTAACAACTCCATGCAGAATTGAGTTATCTATCGATCTCCGCAAACCGCCGATTTTTAGCATTAAATTTTGATTTTTCAGACATGTTTTTCCGAAACCCTCGATATTTCGCCTTTGCAAACTTTTCGGAAAACAAAAAGACGTGGACTAGAATGAGAATTTTATGCGCATTTCGAATATGAACTTTGTTTCGAAATACACCCTTTTCTTCACTCGGTGGATGCAATTCTTTTTTACCAACTTTTAGAATTATATAATTTTAAAAGTTGGTCGAAAATGATTTGGCTGGCGCCGACGGAGGAAAGGGTGTATTTATTATTGTAAATCTGCGTCGAATGGTGTATAATTCAACGGATTTTAAAAGAAAAATTTTCAGGTTTTTCCGAGGTGCTGTGGACGTTTTTGACAAGAGGCTCCCGAGTGTTTTCCATAATTTCCCCAAAAATTCGACGACGGTTCATGGTAGTACGCTGGGCCTACTTCACGAAACCGTAGAGAACACTTCAAACGGACCATCTTCGGTTGCAAGAACCTATTTGCAAATGGCTGATGACGTTTTGTCTATGTCTAAAGAATAAACTATTTCTGCAGAACGCTTGATTCAAAGAAGTTCAAATTTTTATCTTAGGTAGTACTCATAGCAAGACAGCTCTGGTAAAAATCTAAGCTGATCAGCTTTTGATTTGACGGAGTTATAGCATAAGCAAAACTTTCGACTGGAAAATCGCTTTTTTCCGTATTCTACGACTTTTTTTGCAAGCGCTCTAGCGGCAAGGGAAAGCATTTTGGAAAAAAATGTGAAGAGACAAAAATGCTCAGGACACATTTCTCTACCTGCTCTGATAATTTGAGAAAAATCTGTGACAGCGCATTGAGCACGCTATGCTGGAAAAGTGTGTTTCTATCGTGCACTGCCTCATATATATGCATTTATATGAAGCATGTTTTTCTTCGTTAGAAATTTACATAGAACAATATAGACGTCAGATACACGTATAAACGAAATTAGAAACATCGAACGAAAAATATCCTTTACGCTTCTTCTGTTTTCTTTAGCTGAGAAAAATGTTTTTAGAGATGCATCACTTTTCTAAGACTTTCTTGAAGCGATACAAAGCTTTTCTTTTCATTTTAAACGAGACGAAAATGCCTCAAGACATTTATTTCTTACTCCTATTTAATCCATATCTACTTGTTTAAGTGTTTCAAAGCAAAATCAAAGAAAAAAGTAACTAATTTGCAAAGTAAGTACACAGCAATTCCAGTGAGTGAGAGAATATAAATTCTTAAATATAAATTTTACTATCATACAGTTTCTTCAGGCATTTTGTGTAGATCAAAAAGATCGTTCTCAAAAAATGCACTATATCTATGTCACTATGCACAAATAAAAATTGCTGTGTACTTATTTTCAGCTTAACCTCGAAGCGAGTGTGAGGTGAATGATTCACCTTGATTGCATTATGTTCTCGAAGAGAAAACCGGGTAAAACATAGTGAAATCGGTGTCTTAACTACCTTAACACTTTGTTTTCAAAAGAACTGTACCAAAAGTTTTTGTTTTTCTGTATAGAAATCACTACATAAGAATTCTTCGAAATTTTTATATGAAGAGCTCAGTTATTAAGAAATACTTCCTTGCTAGTATCCAATATTAGATGTAGTATAATGTCATCTATATGTGTTTCAGTACTTTAGAAGATATCAACATAGAGAGAGAAGAACATATCACAAAATTACTAATATTTTATTGGAGTTTTGCAAGCAACATTTTTCACTTTCGCTAATCGTAAGAAACCATTTAGATATCAGCTCCTTATGCTTTTATTTTATCTGAGTCGCGAACGCGATGCAATTTCGTCTAAATTATGTACGCGCCACGATCTGAATCGCGAACGCGACACGATCCAGAGGTGAACCTGGCGCGATTTGGATCGCGAATGTGTAGCGTCCCCGAACGCGAACGCGATAAAATCTGATTTAAACCGCGAACATGACGCGATTTGTTTTGAATCGCGAACGCGATGTGATCTTAATCGCGAAGGCGACGTGGTTCGAAGAGCGAACGTGACGCGCAAAAATTTTCGCGGCGCGATCGCTAGTTTTTCGCGGAACGCGCAAAATTCGCGGCCGCGACATAATCGCGGCAAGAATAAAGCGCCGATGTAACTAGGATAGGAAGTGGACTAATGAGTAAGTAAAAAAAAGTAATACTTACAGGATTTAATATAAACGATTCGACCACTGCACATTCACAACAGTATGAATATCTACGTTTAAAAAAACAAATTCAGGATTACGAATCCGAATTGGTTGATAAATATCATCAATTGCGTGAAACTACAAAACATTTAGACAAGATTTATGGCAAATATGATTTACATGATGCTATAAAAGAAAAACGACAACTAATAGAACAAATAAAATTGAGAGACAGAGAAATGGAACAGTTATCAGAATTTGTATCCAAAAGTGAATTAGAATTGAACGAAGTTACGAATGTAAATGAAGAACTGAGAGCAAAGTTGGGAATGGATCTTAGATAACCACTAACTGCTGAATAACTGAAATTAGCGAGAACACTAAGAGGAGCACAAAATCAAATAGTTGTTCAAGTGTTATAGAAAGAGGTACATTCTAGCATCCAGTGATTAATGGAATTAAAGATGATCAGTTTATGATTTCAGATTGAATGTTTAGAAGAGGAGTGTTTAAAACTGAAAGAAAATTGTCTTCAATTAGGTGAACAAGTTGTTGCATGTACTGTTGGATTAGGTTTAACGAGTGTTAGGAATCAACGATGATGGAATTGTTAGTGGAAGAACAATCGATGATGTTATACGTGTTGATTATGAACAACAAACAAAACAATGAGATGATAATATTAATCAGTTAGAAAAAGAATTTAATGATAAAATAAATGAAATAAAGGGTTGTATACCGAAATGAATGGTCTCGAACAAGGTTTAAGGTAAATTGAACAATAATTAAAACAAAAAAGTTTCAACGAAATGGTAAGATATATCCAATGTCCAGCATTAGAAAAATGCTTACGTACGTTTAGCTTAATCTTCTATTTATTTAATCACTCTTTTCGCTTCTACTTTTTCTAGTTGCTTGAAACACAATCATTAGCTGGTCGATATGACGTAGCATTATTTATTAAACGTGAAAATGATGTATTAAGAAATGAATTACATAATTCGAAACAAGAAATGATGAAAGCAAATATCAATTTAAAGTTAATTTTAGAAAAAGTATATGATAATGATTTTTTTGAATTTGTTTCTCGTAGATTTTTATGTAACTTTAGTATGAAAAGCTTCAACGTGATGTGGAACTCTTAGAACATATGGTTGCTACTCCTTTAGCATTTCAACTATTGCAATTACCTGATGATTTAACATGTTCAAGTAGAGATATTATATCATGTTTAAATGAATATTTGGTCGATCCTTTAGCTGTAAGTACAAAAAAAATACCCAACGTTTTTAATCTCTACTTAGTTCTTCTTTTCTTTCCAAACTTTATTGCAACTTCTCTCTGCTTATGCGTGTATGTTCTTTTATTTTATTTTTATTTTCGATAATTTATATACTCTTGCATCTTTTCTTATGTATGAATAGACAAAATGATACATGCCTCTTTCTTTTTGTTTTCTTCATTTATTTAAACTTGTTTTCATTCTTTTCTTGAATAAATAAAGTACAAAAAAGAACTTGATTATAAACATAAAGCAGCAAAATAAACATTTGTATTCAGGAATTAGCTTCTCAACGTGAAATGAATAAAGAATTAGAAGATGGAAATCACAAAAAAGTGAAATCACAAAAATAGTAACAGTGTTAAGAGTTAATGAAAAATCTTTAGGCCGAAAAATTTTGTCTTATCAAGATATTGAAGGAAGATTAACAAAAGTAGCTATTGTGAAAAGTATAATATAATATAATATTTTCTATCTGTTTGTAACAACAAAAATAGAAAAATCTTGTCAAATAGTACAGAAAATTTGAATTAGCAAATTAGAGGATTAACAAAATTGATGCAAATCTTTTCTATGAATATAGTTACAATTTACGCTGGAGGGTATCAAAGTAACTCTGAATAATTTTTGCAACAAGTGTAAATGAAATGAATGATATTTTCATTCACACCGACTTTGATCAATTTTCTCTAGTTTCTAATGTATTTCCAATTAATATTTTTATTAATTAAGATGTAGCCATTCTTCAGAGTCTCATAAATCCATATCTATAGCATCATCTGGTATATCTAAAATATCGGAAAAAACATTATTTTTCTATAATATACTGGAATCTTATAAACCTGTGAATCACAAATAAGATTTAATTTGTATTATATGTTTTCAAATGCTAAAATGCAGTTCATGCGATTAACCTGATAAGGTTAAAAAACTTGCCTTGCATTTGTACTCCCGGCACATGGGATCACATACGAAGATTATCAAATAATTTAACTCTAAAACAGAGAAACATTGTTATCACTTTATGGTAATAGCACAATAAAAGAATCATACTTAATTTTATCCAAATAGTCGGAACTGTTTTGATTTGGCATATTTGATGGACTAATATGCAATTTAAACTCAGGACCATAATATTCATAATAATCATTATAAGGTAATTCTAATCAAAGAAATAAAATAGTGCAGTACAGATGGTAGATTAGAAGTCAAGAGTATTTACCATTAGGTATTTCTTCATTTAAAGCAATAGCTGTTTCATATGTCCATGCACGTGCCACATTACGTATTGTATAACCACCGCCTCCGAGTATTAACAATGGTAAATTAAAACTTTTAATAAACTCTAAGCATTTACCATGTCCTAAATAGAGGCATTAAACAAATCTAACGAAAAATGTAATGCAGAGAGAATGCCTCAACTACCTTTCAATGTTAAATTAAAACAACCTAAACGATCGCCTGTGAGAGAATCAGCACCACATTGTAATACAATGGCTCCTGGTTGGTAAACTTCCATTACTTTTGTTATCACCTAAAAGGAATGAAGAAATGCAAAAACGTTGTCATTTTCAATAATTACAGTACTCTTCAAAACTATCTTATATTTCTCTCTCTATGATCCATGAACTTATTTTGCTTCAAACTTTGTATGGCTATTGTAGACTTCAAATATAAGTCCTATGTTTCAGTCATTCGGCTTCATGCTTCTTAGAATATTTGAGTTTTGCGATCTTATTCATCAAGTTGGGTTAGCTGCTGGATTATAAAAGATAAAGTAATAATTTCCGTATGAATAGACAGTCCCGATTATTAGCTATCTGCTCAATAAGTTTCGCGTGTGAGCGTCCATCCGTTTGAGAATATATAGATTTTTCTACTTTGGTCCAATTTTTTGCACTATTTTCAAAAACTGTCATTTCTCTTTCTACTTAGAAGCGTCCATTTGATTTGAAACCTATTACGAATACTCACTGATGTGAGTAACTACGCACTATACCTCAAAATAGAGTTCAGTCTGGCTGTGAACACAATGTAATCTATCTGAAAAATCGCGACCAAAGTGAAAAGAATTTTTACTTTTAAATACATTTCAAGTCTATCACACACAACGTGTGAAGCACAGTAAACTTACGGATCATCAGATAGAGGGATATCAGACGTAGGATAACTTGGTTTGATATACCAATATTTGTGACAAACATTCTCTCACAGACGTGTGTCACTCACCAAAACGCGTGTGTCACAGACAACTCCACCAGACCTCTCCGACAGTATTACTGCTGC